CTGCTGAAATGGTGACTCTGCTCTTGGCAGCCACAGGAGCTAGTTATAATTTGTCAGGTTTCCTGGGGTTTATCTCAAATTTGGCTCAGAGGGAGGAATTCTCAGCTTAAATGTCAGTAAAGATTCATGCATTACTGATAGCATATGAGGTAATTACAAGAGAATATGATGGGGCTAAGTTTACACATTCTTGTATCACTTTTAAACCTAGTTTAATGAAGAGTTTGAACTTAGTTTTAAGTATGTAAGTATTGGAAAAAGACTTTTTGATACACACAATTTTAGCAAAAAATACTGGCTTAATCAGAAATGTGTTTTTACAAAGGGGAAAAAAACCCCAACACCTGGAAAGTGTTGGTTTTGGTGTGTTTGGTTTGGGTTTTTGTTGTTGTTGCTTTGTTTTTGTTTTGTTTATTTTAGTTATTGGTGGTTTTTTTTTCAGGGGGAGAAAGAAATAATTTCCTAACCAGCTGAAACAGATGTTACACACATCTTTTACTAGATTTCTGTCCATGCATTTGCATGGAAAATTACATGGTCTAATGCTGTCTCTTATTTTCAACATTACTTTTCTGCCCACTTATGAACAGAATTATAGTTACAAGAGTGGTTGCTACTTACGTTGGTCACATTCCCTGAAGTATTGCCCCTCCCTTTTCTTTTTATAGGCAACCATCAAGGCAGCAGTACCTATTCTTGCAGATTCAACTGCTGCACCACATACTTCATGTTTGTCTGTTTACTTTTGGATTTATAGGTTGTCTTTAACTCACTGGAGCATTACCAGTTAGAAACACAGGAAAGCATTTGCACCCTCACAAAAACATTTATGATCTTCACTGAAGGCCAAGGCAATGAAAGTGTCTTCCTCATCTATGATTTCCAGCAGATCACCTCTATATGGAAAAGGTTCACTCAATGTCATACCTTTCTGCTTCAAAAGACTTATGAGCTAGTTATAATTTGACAGGTTTCTTGTATACAGCTTGCAGCCTACCACAAACTGAGTGAAAACCCTTTAGATAATTTGAGACATCAGTGTGTTCCACATGTTTCCTGGTAGTATTCCCAGGCAAACTTTAACTAAGAACATGCCCATAACAGTCTACAGTCACTTTCAGTGTACTACTGAGGTATCTACTGCTGAAATAATCATTGTGTACAAAGACTGGGGGATGATGCCAAAGGCAATACTAATAATTTACTGGTGCAGCACCAGCTGTCCTCAGATAAGACACTCCTTTTTAATGCATTGGTCACTAGTCACCTCACTGTGCATCTTCAGATCGGAATAGGTCTGTCTGTGTATGACCTACTTTTCTCAGTTTAATTGTGCACTTAAGTTAACATCCTGCAATCTTAAAAAACAAACAAAACCCAACCAAAACAGATGGATGCTATGAGAGGAACACTGACCGTATCTCTTAGCCTGTTGGAGCTACAAGCAGATGACTAGTTCACTGATTAGGCCCTGGCCTGAGGTTAAGTTCACTCAATTTGATG